TTGCAGATTTGCAGATCTGCTGCTTCTTCTAATTTGCTAGGCCTAATTTTGGTACTAGTGTCCAACGTTCTTCGATTCCTTTTGCTAAACCTGCAACAGGTACACTATCTATCTAGATCTTCAATTTTAGATTTCTCTATTGGTGCACAATTTGGTTACCTTAGATTTCTTGCTTTCGATTGATTGCTAGTTCTGTTTTTTCCTTCTTTTTTTAAAGTGACAAGCTGAGTGATGAAAAGAGCTAGAGACAATTTTCCCAACCCTTTTCGGTCTTAGTTTTTCATCCTATTAACCATTAGTTATTCCTATATCTTGCATGGTTTTTGAAGTTGTCATATACATTCTAATACACATGATGTTTCATTTTATAGGGTCTTCATCAATGGAGCTTCTGGTAGAGCCTATCATGGAGCTAGTAAAGTGTTTGGGGAGGTCAGCTTGCACCTGTCTAAATTATCACTTAAATTTTGATGAAGCTGTGAGTGAGCTGAGAAGAGAATGGGGAGTTCTAAACAGTCGAAAAGAGGATATAAATTCAATAGTAAGGACTGAGGTTCTTTGGGGGAAAGAAGTAAAACATGAAGTGCAAGATTGGCTTGAACGTGTAGAAGAAATCAGTAAAGAAGTGCAAGCCATTCAAGAAAAGATTCGGAGAGTAAAGTGGCACTCACGGGGTTGTCTTGGAAAACTTGTTTGCAAGAAAATTAAGGTGATGAAAAAAATCCGTGAACAAGGTTGTTTTCCTGATGGTCTCGTAGTTGATAGACCTTCGACCTGTGGAGTCATCATGTCAAATGATAATCCAGTGGGTGAAGATTCTGCAAAAGAAAAAATTTGGGGATACTTGGTGGGAAATGAAGTTAGAAAGATTGGAGTTTGTGGGATTGGTGGGGTTGGAAAGACTACCATTATGAAGCATATCAATGATGAACTGGTGAGGGAGGCTAAGTTCGATAAAGTGATTTGGGTCACTGTATCTTACCCACTCGATGTAATTAAATTACAAGAAAATATTGCTCGTGCTATTGCTGGAGATGATAGACAGAGACTCCCTGGAGGTGAGGATAAAGAGAGGCGGGCAGCTGAATTAAAGAGTGTTATGGGAAGAGTAAGGCATGTGCTTATCCTAGATGATGTCTGGGAAGTGTTTTCTCTGATTGAAGTGGGAATTCCAGAACCAGCAATTCAGAATGGAAGCAAAATAATCATCACTAGTAGATCCATTGATGTGTGCCAAAATATGGACTGTGAGATAGTCAAAGTGGAGCCTCTTTCATTTCAGGAGTCTTTTAACTTATTCTTAGATAAAGTTGGGCAACATGTTCTGCAAATACCAAGCTTAGAAGGAATCTTGAAGCTCATTGTGGAGGAGTGTGGTGGCTTACCGTTGGCCATTGTTGTGATAGCAGAAAGTATGAAGGGAGAAGATAATATTGAAGTGTGGAATAATGCCCTGACTGAATTACAGAAACGAGTAAAGAGTGTGACTGGTTCAGATCAAAAGATATTTAAGAGGTTAAGGTTTAGTTATGATCGTTTGAATAATTTTGAAATCCAAAGCTGTTTTCTTTATTGCTCCTTGTTTCCTGAAGATTATCCATTTGGGAGAGAAGGGTTGGCAGAAGGGTGGATTGATGAAGGACTAATTGATGTGTTGCCTAGTAGAAAAGCAGCTTATGATAGGGGTCATGCCTTTTTAAATAGGCTAGTAAAGAAGTGCTTGTTAGAGAAAACTGTTGATTGGCGTGGTGTTGATGTTTTCAAGATGCATGATGTAATGAGAGACATGGCTATCAAAAGCATTGGTCCTGAATTGGGATATATGGTAACAGCTGGAATGAAAATGACAGAGGTACCAGATGAGCATGGTTGGGGAAATTATCTTAAGAAGGTGTCTCTAGTGGGGAATAACATATCAAAAATTCCCCTTGAGTTGTCTCCAAATTGTCCAACTCTTTCAACTTTGATATTGTCAAATAATTATAATTTGTCAGAGATCCCAGAATCCTTCTTTGAAGGAATGCCTGAACTAAAGGTTCTTGATCTTTCTGAAACTGGTATTGAAGTTTTACCTAACTCCATCTCAAACTTGGAGAAGCTCTCTTCCATGAGGTTAAGGTGGTGTCAAAGGTTAAGGCATTTGCCTTCTTTAGCAAAGCTTAGGGCATTAAAGAAGTTGGATTTGAATCGTTCCAAGATTGAGGTGGTCCCTCAAGGCATGGAGAAATTGATTAGTCTGGAATATCTTGATTTAAGTGATTGTTACAGTCTAGTAGAGATTCCAATGGGAATGTTATCAAACCTTTCCAATCTCCAATACTTGTTATTAGTTTCTGAAAAATTGAAGATAAAAGGAGAAGAGGTTGCAAGATTAAGCAAGTTGGAGACCTTTGAAGGTGGATTCAATGAAATACAAGGCTACAATTATTTTGTCAAGTCTCAAGATTTCCAAATTCTTATTGATTACGATATTGAAGTAGGAGAAGTACCCTCTACTTGGTCTACTGGCCAAGCTAAACCTACGGTTAGTATTAATAATTGCGACTTGGGAGAAGAATGTATGGTGCTTCCAGATAACATTAAGAATTTGATGATCTGGGAGTGTAAAAACATGAGAAGCAGCTTAAATAAAGTAGCTTTGTTAGAAAAGGCAACCGAGTTAAGATCCTGTTATATTAGTAAATGTGAAGATATGGAGTGCGTGCTTGACTTGGACTCATCCTCCTGTCCAATACTGGATAAGCTTGAAGAGTTGAGTCTTGACATATTGCCTAAGTTGAGTGTACTTGTGAGAGTGGGAGGAGTAGCAACGCCACTGCACATCTTTTCCAATCTTAAAATGCTTTGGATTCGGGAATGTTTAGGAATGAGGAAGTTGCTTCCAGTTGAGCTGCTGCAGTCCTTCCAAAACTTAGAGCAGATTGATGTTGATAGGTGCGAACAAATGGAGGAGATAATAGCATCATCAGATTTAGATGCATTATCGAGTAAATTCACTTTTCCCAAGTTAAGGACATTGTTATTAACTGATTTACCTCAATTGAAGAGCATCTGCAATGCCAAAGGAGTTATGGTTTGTGATTCTATTGAAAAAATTCAAATATCGAGATGTCGGGAGTTAAAGAGGATCCCAGTACAGCTTCCTCTACTTGATAATGGCCAACCATCTCCTCTGCCTCGTCTTAAAGAAATTTGGATAGATGAAGATTCAAAAAAATGGTGGGAATCAGTGGAGTGGGATCATAAGAACCTAGTTCAACCTTTCTTGAACTATTCTTTCTTTTGATTGAGGGGTAAGGTAAGAATGTTGATTTATTTATTTATTTTATTTGTTTTCCAATTCCTCTTCTATCATTTCTATTGTTTCATTGATACTTGGAGGTTGAATTGAAGGGGTAACGGACAGCCAACGATCCAGAGTAAGAAGGCACTAACGAACGACCAGGATGAGTGGCAACATTCCGTTTGTGTATGTACCTGACATGTCCAAGTAAGTCACGTGCGGCCCCGAATAGCACCTGCCAGTAAAACTCGTGCTCCTCCTTTTCTCCTCCAGTCCAGTCCTGTTATTCTGATTCTGATAAAAGAGATCCAGTTGAGTTGAGTCTTCCCTAATTTCATTTGAGATTCTCACCAAACTGGGTACTATATATGGAATCAAATCTCTTTTATCTATGTATGAATTATTATGATTTTAACTCTTCAACTCCTTTTATATTTCTTGTTCCATTTTGGTTATTTCAAAATCTATTGTAGATTTTCTAAAATGATTTGTTTCTGCCAAAATTTTTGGTGGCTGGTCTTTGTTTGTTTAGGGATTCCTTATTTTCTTAAATGGGTTCCTTCAGGGTGTGGTTATAATTTTGAGAAATCCATAGTTGGTTTTGATAAATTTATTGAGTTGTTAAATTTTTGATAATCAGTAATTAGAATATTTAAATTAACTTTTTTTCCTTTTTTGTCTGAGTTGGAAGCAAAATCATTGAATTGAAAAACATGCAGGATTTCAATTTCAGTAGTTGGCAATTGGCAAGAAGAGTCCCAGGCTCCTGTCTCCAATGAACTCCGAGTGCTCCTAAGTAGTTTCATTTCAGACTTTTTGCACAATATTTGGTGTCATAAAGTCCAAGTAGTGAGTATTGATTTTGCTCTGTGATCATTTTCTATCTGTATCTGTCTTTTGATTCTAAATTAACCATCAAAATTAATATTATGATTCACCTGCAACCATAATAAAATAACATGCTTTGTAGTTTCTTTTATCTTATATTGCATGTAGTCTCATTCTGAACAACTTTTCCAAGTTCAGTTTTTACTTTTATGAGTTTTATCTGATATTTGCATATTCACGTGGGAGGTACAAGTTTATTGCCAAATATATGGGTTTGTGATTCTGCAAAGTCGAAATCCAGTTGCGCACCAGAAGATGTAATAATTCAATTTTGAGTTCCAATAATTCATTTCCTTAACCATAAGCAGTATAAGTAGAGCGTCATTGCCTAAATTGATTAATTCTTATATGCATTTAATAGATTATAAACCAAACTTAATACATTACAATCTGGAATTCACTTTACTGGAGTGATTTTGATACTTAATCTCTTCTTTTTATGGACTCTTAGCTGATTTTATCCTTTCTTTCTTTTGTTTATTTACTTCTTGCAGATGCACCTACTTGTGCTGATGAAGGTGAAGCAGTTGAAGAAGGGGGCATTAAGGATGACGCTCATGGTGTTAATTTTAAGACAGTTTCCAATGTTGAAGGGCAACAGGAAAAGGAGTGTGGGAGAGAAGTTAAACCAATATCCATGCTTCGTACCTTTTAGAGAGTACTGCTTTGCATTATATAACTGCTCTTCCAGGTGCATAGATCTTTCAAATTTAATCATTTCACTGTCTGATTCTGCTTATCATTGATTCAATTTGTTATTATCATTGATTTCTGGTTATTTACCGCATTCTATTGTGCATTGGATGGTGGAGGTGTGCCACACAATTTCTGTGTTTTAATGAGAAATTCAAACTTCGAAGTAGCCTATTTGATTCCAGATTTCCAGTTTTCGACCTTCCTTTGCTAGGATGTAGTTTGATAACAGCTTTGTAAATAACCTCCCTTATGAATATACAAGAGATTTCAGAGACAAAAAGAGTAATAATATCATATTTTTGTTCAGATTTTTTGTTGCTTGTCATTAGAAATTCAGGGTTTCGAAATGAGGTTACCTTCAAAGCGTCTAAAATGAGCAAAGATATAATGATGCTGGTAGTGATTCTGAAAATGAACAACCCGATGATGGTTTGTAAACTTTTCAATGATCTTTGTTTTGATTTGATCAGTATCATTTTCCTAGTTGTTTCATTTGACTGGGGATTTATGATGTAGGTGTGACAAAATGGGGAAGAGGAAGATGCAAGTCTTGTAGAGGTACATGTTTTGTTATTACATTTCTTGTTCCATTTTGGTAATTCCAAAATCTACTGCAGATTTTCTAAGATGACTTGTTTCTGTTAGCATTTTTGGTGGCTGCTCTCTATTTGTTTAGAAGAGATTTCTTATTTTCTTAAATGCGTTCCTTCTGGATATGGTTATTTTTGTTCAGATTTTTGAGAATTCAATAGTTGGTTCTAATAAATTTATTAAGTTTTTAATTTTTGATAATTAGTAATTAGAAAGTTTAAATTAAGTTTTTTTTTTTTTTTTTTGTCCGAGTTGGAAGTGAAATCATTGAAAAGAAAAACAATCTGTCGGCAATTGGCAGGAAGAGTCCCGGGTTCCGGTCTCCAATAAACTCCTAGTACTCCTAAGTAGTATCATTTCAGATTTTGGTGTCATAAACCCCAACTAGTGAGCATTGATTTTGCTGTGTTCATTTTCTATCTGTATCTGCGTTTTGATCCTAAATTACCCTTCAAAATTAATATTATTATTCACCTGCAATAATAATAATATAACATGCTTTTTAGTCTCTTACGCCAAAAGTTCTATGCAAGCGAAGGTTTCTAATAAAAGTTAGATCATTTTCAGGTTTCTTATAAGTTCTGTTTAGGTTGAAGAGCAGTCCTTCAAGTCCATATAAAGCTTGTTACTGGATCCAAATTCATAGGTCAGATTTTCTATAAAAACGGCATATGGTCTCATTCTGAATAATTTTCTAAGTTCAGTTTTTACCTTTATCTTATATTGCATATTCACTTGGGAGGTGCAGGTTCATTAACTAATATATGGGTTTGTGATTCTGCAACGTCAAAATCAAGTTTCCCGCTAGAAGATGTAATAATTCAATTCTAAATTCTAATAATTCATTTCCTTATCCGTAAGCAGTAGAGGTAGCATCATTGTCTAAATTGATTCTTATGTACATTTAATAAATTATAAACCAAACTTTATACATTACAATCTGGAGTTCATATTACTGGAGTGATTCTGATACTTAATCTCTTCTTTCTATGGACTCTTAGCTGATTTTTTTTCTTTTCTTTCCTTTGTTTCTTTACTTATTGCAGATGCTCCTGCTTGTGCTGATATGATGGTGAAGCAATTGAAGAAGGGGACACTGATGATGATGCTAATGTTGTTGATTTTAAGATTGTTTCTAATGGTGGCAGGCAACAGCAAAACGAGTGGGAGAGAAGGTACCAATATTTATGCTTTGTACCTTTAAGAGTACTGCTTTGCATTCTATAACTGGTCTTCCAGGTGCATAGATTTTTCAAATTTTAATCATTTTACCATCTGATTCAGCTTATCATTGATTTTAATCCTGCTGATAGTCATTTAGTTTGTTATTAAATATTGATTTTAATTCTGCACTTGATGGTGGATGAGACCTCCCTGAACTACTTCAATAACCAAAGTTTTGTTTGGATAAATGATTTTGGTTTCTCCATTTCTTCCTCTTGTTTGCTGCCCGAATTTTAATCAAGAAACTGAAGCATACTTAATATTACAATAATATAAGGTCTTAGGAAAAGATATCATGGTCACCAGAGCAATAAAGAGGACTCTGCAAAAGACTTGGTCATTATTGAATGACCTGCTTTCCTTCTGGCTTTACTAATTATGGAGTGCTTCTAGCTATCTTTTTTGCATTTTTTTCCTGATTAATTCAAGCAATTGGAGGCTGGTACACATGGTCCTGCTGTCTTAGTTAATTTCATTTTTGCCTGTTTTAGATTGTAAATAAGCTAGGTTGTGACAATCGCACTCTTTAATTGTTTGGTCTTCCAATGCAGGCCTCCTGTGAAGCTAAAAGGTCTCACTGCTCCGACTAATCTGGGATCAAAGCAAGAAACAAGACAAGCAGGGGAAAGTGCCCTCAAAGAGAAAGTATAGAAGAATCTTTCCTTGGGTCGCCAGCACTCTGCAAGTAGCAGAATCAGGAAACCCTTTCACGGAGAGACATCAAACTCATAGCACCTTTGAACACTGAACACTCAGAAAGACAATCTGGGAAAGCAAGGCATCTTATCATTCTTAGAAAGAGTTGACTTGGGCAAAAGTTTCTGATTTTCCTAACCGTCATTCTTCACAATAGGTTACATTCTTTCTTTTGGTTGGACAATACTTCTAATTCATGTTCATCTACAATTTTTAATGGGAAATCCAAACTCCAAAGTAGGCTATTTGCCTCCGGATTTCCACCTTTCTTTGCTAGCTAGGATGCAGTTTGAAACAGCTTTTGTAAATAACCTCCTTTAGGAATATACAACAGATTTCAGAGACAAAAAGAGTGATAATATACATGATCTATGTTCAATCTCACATGCATGATTTTCAGCCATCTTTTATCATGTTGGTTAGCTCACTCAAAACATACTTTTGTAGCCGGTATTTTGCACCTGCATAGGTGAGTTGTAAGGCAACTTTGGAGAAATTTCAATTTGTGCGGTAAAGCATAGTTGTTTCGACAAAAATTAGCTATTAGCCACAACAAAGTGATGCAGTAAGATATAGTTAGCAAACTTCTTTATCATGGCATACAACTAACTTAGAACTTTGTCATGTGGGGAGAAATTTAGGGAAAAGACGGGATTATTTTCTTTTATATAACTTATTATTATTATATATAAAAAAAAATTAAATTAAAATTTTAAATGATGACCCCTGCACTGTCTACAACTACGTGTGCAAGGATGAGATCAACTTTAACAATAGCTCGGAGATCATTGGACATCTCTAGTATCTAGGAAACTGATGTTTAGTTGACCAAAGATCAATAACTGTAAGATCAGTTAAGAAAAATTGATCTAAATCAACATAAAACTCAAGATAATCTTGAGAAACATATAAAAGAAGGAGAAAATAACATAAACTGAGTTAAAAATGATGCTCAACATACCAATCATATACAGTGTTTTCCTAATACATTTGACAAATGATATCAACCCTTACGTGGAGACGATTAAAGCCGAATCATATATATAGGTGCAGCGCTTTACATCAATGAACATGAGAATTACATTGAAAACCAAACAAAGAAACTCTTAGCAACTTGGTGAAACTGAACCGAACATGAACAGTATATGTGAACAGTAACCTTGCTGCATTGTTGTATTTATCTTCAACATATCAGTCTGCTTATTAATGTTAAATGGAAAATATGTCCCTTATGAGGTTTATAATCTCACTGATTTAAAATAAGTGCATGCTCACTAGAAAGGGATACACCTGGAATATGCAAAGAGAAAGCGACAGCACAAATATTCCAAATATTATAGCAGGAAGTCGAAGTCAGGAACTCAAAAAATACAACTAGCTTTAGTTAATTCATTCTGATTATGTGCAGAACTCAAACTAAAGATTCATGTTTGTTCAATTTTTTACAGAAAATTGACAACTTTCATTTCATAAAAACTTAAGGGTTACGGTCAAGTGTTTTAAAAAAAAAAAAAAAGTGGTGAAAGAATGAAACAACTGAACATTGATAACCTTACAAACAATTGAACCTTTATGACAGAAAAGTCAAACTCAATAGTCAAAATCCTCCATAATCTCTTCCTTCGTTTGTCTTCAAGTCAATATCCACGCTTGGTACCTTTAAGAGTACTGCTTTGCATTATATAACCGGTCTTCCAGGTGCATAGATCTTTCAAAATTTAATCATTTCACCAGTTGATTCTGCTTATCATTGATTTTAATCTCGCTGATAGCGATTTAATTTGTTATTACCATGGATTTTGGTGATTTGACACATTCTATTCTGCACTGCATGGTGGAGTGCCATACTGAACTGCCTCAATAACCATAGTTATGTTTGGATAAATGATTTTGATTTCTCCATTTCTTCCTCTTCTTTGCTTCCCAAATTTTTGAATCAGAAAAAACTGAAGCATACTCAATATTACAATAAAATCAGGTCTTAGGAAAAGATATCATGGTTACTAGAGCAATAAAGAGGATTTTGCAAATAGAAGATTGGTATTGTTCTTTATAAGGTTATTTCCTATTAGTATTAGACACACTTCCTTAATTGAAATGAATCTTACAAAAGCAATTACTGCATCGAAGGAAAGATAAAGAATTGGTCCTCATTGAAAATGACCTGCATTCATTCTGGCTTTACAAGTATGGAGTGCCTCTAACTAACTTTTTTGCCTTTTTTTTCTGATTAATTCAAGCAAATGGAGGCTAATATACATTGCTCTGCATTTTTTATTTTTTATTTCAGTATGCCTGTTTTTAGATTGTGAAAATAACTAGGTCGTAACAAGTCTTTCAATATAGGCCTCCTGCAGCTAAGAAGTCTCACCGCTCCTAGTAATCCGGGAAGCAGAGTAGGAAACAAGACAAATAGGGTAGCGCTCTCAAAGTGAAAGTATAGGAGAATGGAGATACTTTCCTTGGATTTCCAGCACCCTGCAAGTGGCAGCATCAGGGCACACTTTAATGGGAAGCATCTTCCGTATGGCACTTTGAACGCTAAAAAATCAAAAGGCAAGCAAGGAAAGCAAAGCAAGGCAATATATATAACTTGGAAAGAGTTAACGTTGGTAGAATGAAGTTTTTGCTTCTTCCTAGCCGTCATTCTTTACTGGATTACATTAATTCGTTTGGTTGGACAATATTTCTAATTCATGTTCATCTACAATTTCTGTGTTTTAGTGGGAAACCCAAACTCCAAGTAGTCTATATGCCTCCAGATTTCGACCTTCCTTTGCCAGGATGCAGTTTGAAACAGCTTTTGTAAATAACCTCCTTTATGAATATTCAAGAGATTTCAAAGGCAAAAGGAGAGAAATAATATACATGATCTATGTTCGGTCTCACACATGCCGGTCTATTCTCTACCTTCAACCATCTTTTATCATGTTGGTTGGCTCATTCAAAACATACTTTGTAGCTCGTATTTTGCACCTGCTAAGGTGAGTTGTAAGGCAGCTTAGGAGAAATCTAAAGTAGCCTTATTTGTCTTTGTATTTGCCCCTTCCTTTGCCAGGATATGGATGCAGTTTGAAACAGCTTTTGTAAATAACCTCCTTCATAAATCTTAGTTGAATGCCTTTTTATATCGATTCAATCCTCTGTTTATACTGTTCTTTAGTTTTATTTTAGTAACTAGACCTTTAAA